ACGGTCTCCGCCAGGCTCCGCGTGAGTGGCACGACACACTGAGGACTACACTTGCGGCTCTTGGGTTCGCGCCTTCTACAGCTGACCCGTCGCTGTTCCTGCGCACCGACACTTCGCTGCCGCCGTTCTACATCCTCGTGTACGTCGACGACTTGGTCTTTGCCACTGCTGACACTGCAGGACTCGCCTACGTGAAGTCGGAGCTGCAGAGGAGACACACGTGCACAGACCTGGGTGAGCTGACAAGCTATCTTGGCTTGCGGATCACCCGGGACAGAGCACGGCGCACCATCACCCTGACTCAGTCACACATGGTGCAGCAGGTTCTCCAGCGCTTCCGCTTCACGTACTCCTCGCCTCAGTCCACTCCTCTACCTACCGGTCACTCGCTCTCAGCTCTGCCTTCGGATGAGTCCGTAGAGCCGAGTGGCCCGTATCCAGAGCTTGTGGGCTGCCTCATGTACCTGATGACCTGCACTCGACCTGACCTTGCATACCCTCTTAGCATCCTTGCACGCTATGTCGCTCCTGGCCGTCACAGGAAGGAGCACATGGATGCCGCTAAGAGGGTGTTGCGCTACTTGTGCAGTACATCGGGCATGGGGCTTGTGCTTGGAGGGCGAGACCGAGTTGTTCTCACAGGGCACTCAGACGCTTCTTGGGCAGACGACCAGGCCACTCAGCGGTCGTCTCAGGGTTACACCTTCAGCCTTGGCTCTGGCTCAGTTTCTTGGCGCTCTACACGCTCTTCTTCTGTTCTCGGCTCCAGTTGCGAGGCTGAGATCTACGCTACAGCCATGGCTGCCCAGGAGCTACGCTGGCTGACCTACCTGCTGACCGACCTCGGAGAGCGGCCTCGTTCTCCTCCAGTACTGTACGTCGACAACAAGGCTGCCATTGCCTTGTGTGAGGAACACAGACTGGAGCACAGAACGAAGCACATCGCCCTGCGGTACTTCCTTGCTCGTGAGCTGCAGCAGCGCGGTCAGCTTTGTATTCGTTACGTGGCCTCTGAGGCCAACACTGCTGATGTGTTCACCAAGGCGCTTCAGCCTCGTGACCATCAGCGCTTCTGCACTCTACTAGGCCTTGTGCCTACTGGACCTCACTTGCTTACCTCTTGACTTTGCTTGTACTGTGATCACTATATATATCTATACCTGCATGTTTACTCTTGCTAGGTTGTGATCACTGTATCTCTTGCTCTGTTATAAACCTGCATGTGAACTGGTCTTGTGACCACTAGCTTGTGCTCGGAATTTGTGTGGAATCCTCGAGATCCACCCTGAGCTTGTTGTTGCCTTGCTTTGCCTTGACTGGTCTTGTGACCCCTAGGTCTCCCCCACTTTGCCTATGGGGGTGTGTCAAACATTATACATGTTGTATTTGTGTAGGCTGCAGTGGGTTAGCCTATAGGGGGGTCACAACATTAGGGTTTCATATTTGTACTCACAATCCTTGTTAGTTCATCATTCCAGTCCGTTATTACTGACACGCTCTCCCGCCCAGGCCATCCCCCCCCCCCCCCCCCCCCCTGCGTCCCCTGGACAGGAGGGTGTGGGGGTGGCGGGTGTGGGGGTGCTCCTTGTGCGTCGCCCCTACCTTCTCCTCCGTCTCCCACTGCTGCAGCTGCCGCTGCGGGGGGGTGGATGTGTGGGAGACGAGGGAGTGGCGCTAAGGGGGTGATGTGGGCGAGAAGCGAGTGGTGACACTGGGGGTGAGTGTAGGGGGGAGTGAGACAGTTGGAGGAGGTTGCAACCTGGTGCTCCTGGTGCCCGTGTGTCTGCAACTTCAGTCGTCGCCTCCTCTCTTCTCTCCCTCCACAGTTCCTCCTCCTCCTCACTGGCCTCCTGTGACTGCCACTAGCTTTGCTGATAATTGTAAACTATTTGCTGTGACTTCTCACGTGTGCTGATTACACCCCACTTTGGCTATGGGGGTGTGTCAGATTATGTTATTTGTCTAGCCTGCAGTGGGGTGCTCAATAGTGAGTACAACCCCTTAGGGTTTCCTATATGTATCCTGCTGCTTGCTAGTTCAAATCATCATTCTCCATTCTCTCTTCTCCAATTCTCCTTCGTATACCCCAAACCCTAGTCCTAGGGCACATCCTACTACCTCTTAGTGTGGGCCTAGGCTACTAAGCCTAGGCCCCACTCCTATTGTTTCTAACACATTCCGGCATAGATGACCTAATTAGACTCCGTATCCCGCGGCCTGTGATCATGCTCTACCGCAAACTCTACGTGAAACATGGGGTGGATGCACATGGAGTAAGCAAAACCGAATCCATGGTCACATTGCTAACCTACGGGCGTGTAACTTTTCCCGTTTTTAACAAATGTCCGGACGGAGCCTCCAAATCGGCCGGACGGAGCTCTGTACGGACGCTTGGGAATCGGGTCCGGGCGGAGCTCCGTCCGGACCACAATTGTGGAACTTATGGCATTTTCGAAAAACAAGAAATTCGCAATGAAATTTACATAATTCGTACGGCACTCCAAAAGTTTCGCCAGCGAAAATCCGCGGCATGTTATTGGTTGATGAATTAACCCATCTCGTGCCCCAACCACAGCGCAGCCAAATCGGACGGCCCGAACTGCCGTTCGGACTGTGTCAGCAGGTTAGTCCGGACAACATTTTGGCAGAAAAGTTTCGGATTTTGTCCGGACGGTAGCGATGTCGTAGGGGGTCTTGCGAAAATCTAAACGGATATTAACAAAAATAGCTATCCTACAAAAGTCCGGACGGGGCCTCCGTCCGGACGATGGAAAGTGAAAAAGTTACACGCCCTAACCCCAATCTGTGCACTGTCGCTTAGGGCGGGTCCAGCGCGTACGTTTACAGTTCATCTACCGTGGCGAAAAACGATATCGAACGGTGATTTTCAATTTTCACCTTTTTTAACAATAACAAAACATGGTCAACCGCACAGAATGAGCTGTAAACGTAGAAGCTGGACACGCCCTTACGAACCCCCATGGGACTGGCCTCCATGCGGTACCCCAGCCCAGCATGGGAGTGTCTGCCTGACTGACTGACTCTCCATGCTACATGACAGGAATGCGAATTCCTTGATTTCTGTTTGCATCTGTTATGTGCAGTGCATACGGTACGCTGTACAGAATATGCACTACAAGTGACTAAAACCAAATTGTTCCTCGGATCTTATTCTGTTGTCTAATTCCGAGTAAAGCATCTTCGCTAACTAACTACAGAATAATTTGATAAAAAGGCATAAGTGATTTTCAAATCCTACTTATGCATAAGCTGGTTAAAAATGTATTAATACAAAACTGAATATTGTATACAAATATCGTAATTTATTTCATAATTGAACGATTCCAAGGTACATGCTTGCTATGGCACGCGGATTTCTATAAATGGTTGACCATTTTATTCCTATGGCATGCTTGCTTTTACAAGAAGATTCCTTAAGCTACTTCATATGCTTACACTGCTTTGAGACCGGGTGACAATAAAGCGAGTACAAAATCTTTCTGATTGTCCAATGAAAGCATGATGTTGCTGTACTTTCGATCGGCTTCTATCACGGACTGCCGTCAGATACTGAACCCTCACATAATTTATCAACGGCCAGATCAGTTCTTCAGAGATCATCCCAACCAGTTGTCCATCCGAGCAGCACACCACACCGCAACACAGCTCCGTCCCGAACTCAACTCGCACACGCTCTTCTCCAATGCAGCGGGAACACAGAGACACCCATAAACTCCACCTCTCTTTCCCACATTCCATATCTCAAACTGTTCCGCACATCTGCTGCACTTCTTCCATTGCAGTTCTTTATCAGACCCGTCAGAAAGCTCTATCCAGCGCATTTGATTCATCGGTTAGTATATCATTTGAAGTTCTTTTGTGTCGCTACGTGATTTGCCGCTGAGCAGTTATGTCAGGACGCGGAAAGGGAGGCAAGGGCCTTGGAAAGGGAGGCGCGAAGCGTCACAGGAAGGTTCTTCGCGATAACATCCAGGGCATCACCAAGCCTGCTATCAGGCGTCTCGCTCGTCGCGGTGGCGTCAAGCGTATCAGCGGTCTCATATATGAAGAGACACGTGGCGTGCTGAAGGTGTTCCTCGAGAATGTCATTCGCGACGCTGTGACTTACACGGAGCACGCCAGGAGAAAGACAGTCACAGCGATGGATGTTGTTTACGCTCTGAAGCGCCAGGGTAGGACGCTCTACGGATTTGGCGGTTAGATTTTTTAGAATTAGCAACTTCGTTCTTTGCAATGTGCTCCGTACCCTGTAACTATGACAATGTAAACATTTTCTGACATTTCCTCCTGTATACGTGTACGGCATGGCCTAGTTATTTAGGTGTTGTCGCTGCTCTGGGCTTGTTGAGTTGAGCTGTCTCCTGTCATGGCTGTCACTGGATGTGTCAGCTCAGCAGCACTCTGCAAGGTCATCAAGGTAACAGGCTGGAACCTGTGGTGAGGTCGTGCCTTGCAGCTGCAGATCTGGAACTTACAGAATGTCAACACAGCTCAAAGCAGGTGGCATTCACTAACTCTAACGTGGAGTGACGCATGACCTCGTGACAGATACCAGCCGCCAGCAGTTGAATATATTGCAGTGCTGAATAGATTATCACTTGTGGGGACAACCTTTGCGAAGTGAAGCAAAGGCAGCACTCAAAGTTCATGTTAGTATCTCATTCTAAGAATCACTTGATTCACGATGAGCCACGAAAGATTCAGTTTTATGCAAGGTGGCAGCAAAGCTCAGTCTTCATTCTGATCCCTTTCCTTCGACTACTCTGAAGACACCTTGAGTGTAGCCCTTAACCCCATTCAAGAGCCACTCTAAGCACCACTGAGATCAGAAGTTAAAATATTCACGCGAGGTAGCGGTAGAGCTTGCGGTCGTTGCGGTCGTGCTCCAGAAACTCCCTCTCTATGAGGCTCTCTATACGCTTCTTGATCACACACATTTAAGAACCACTATACCGTAAAAGCGGCATAGTAAATTCGCTTTAGGCGAGGTAACGGTAGAGCTTGCGGTCGTTGCGGTCGCGCTCCAGAAACTCCCTCTCTATGAGGCTCTCTATGCGCTTCTTGATCACTGCCGGGTTGGGAAGGAATCGTGCTTGCAGCTGCTTTGTTACCTCGCTGCACAGTGGACGCACATGGGAAACACAGACGAAACAGGGAAGAGAAGCTGGACTAAAAGACATCTCTCCCTCACCCCCGCTCTATGAGGCTCTCTATGCGCTTCTTGATCACTGTCGGGTTGGGCAGGAAGCATGCTTGCAGCTGCTTCGTCACCTCACTGCACAGTGGTTGCACAGGGGAAGCACAGAAGAAGCACAGGGAAAGCCAAGGAGAACCAGGGACCAGAGATTGGGTGAGAATCTCTCATTCTCGCTCCTGAAGCTCTCCATGCCTTTATTAATCACCGCAGGGTTGAGCAGAAAGCGCGCCTGCAGCTGTCTCTTGCAAACTCACTTGAGAAGGCTGTTGCGGTGCAACACGCACAGTGACTTATGATGCGTTGCGCACTATGGCAGCCTCTAGTAAGTCAATTTTAGTCGACTCAAGAATCAATGCAACACACGCAGTGACGTATGATGCACTGCGCACTATGACAGCCTCTATCTGCAGCTCTCAACTCTTCCCAGAAACAGCCCAACACTGCAGTACCCTTTATAAGCTCACCTGACAAGGTTGCTGTGGTCCAACATGCGTCGTGACTTCATGATGCGCACGATGGCAGCCTCTATCTGCGGCTTCCTGTCCTTTTCAGCAAAGACCAGCACTGTTGTACGCTTTATAAGCTCACCTGTTGTCCTTCCTTCCTGTTGGTCCAGCATGCGCCACGATTTCGGGATGCACACGTCTATCTGAGGAACCCTTTACAAGCCTACCTGACAAGATTGTTGTGGTCCAACCTGCGTCACAACTTAGTTGTGATGCGCATGATTGCAGCCTCTGTCTGCGGGCTTCCTTTCCTCCTCACAAGCTGCCCAACAACGTTGTACCCTTTATAAGCTTACCTGACAAGATTGTTGTGGTCCAACCTGCGTCACAACTTAGTTGTGATGCGCATGATTGCAGCCTCTATCTGCGGGCTTCCTTTCCTCCTCACAAGCTGCCCAACAACGTTGTACCCTTTATAAGCTTACCTGACAAGGTTGTTGTGGTCCAGCATGCGTCGTGACTTCATGATGCGCACAATGGCGGCCTCTATCTGCGGCTTCCTGTCCTCCTCCACCTTCTGCCTCGTCTCTGCCTTCTCTGGCTCCGTCTCCTTCTGGGCCGAGATGGTCCCAATCTTCACCTGCAGATCGATAGATGGACGGCAAACGGAAAAAAGCAGGTTGAGGCAGAGGGACAGGGAAGCCATGCATCCAAGGTGGCAGCCTCTATCTGCGGCTTCCTGTCCTCCTCCACCTTCTGCCTTCTCCGGCTCCGTTTCCTTCTGAGCGGAAATGGTCCCGATCTTCACCTGCAGGTCGATAGGTGGACGACAAAAGGGAGCATATTGAGGCACAGGAAAAGGAAGCATGACTCTGCCTTCTCCGGCTCAGAAGACCGGGACCATATCGGCTCTGTCTCCTGCGCCGATATGGCCCCCATCTTCACCTGCACGTTGGCAGGATCCAGAAAGAAATAGGAGAGACATGGACGGAGGATTGGCATGGAGATGGATCGAGATGGACATGCGGGTTGAGGCGCCTAGCGCTGCGCCCCCACCTCCTCCGACTCCGTCTCGTTCTGCGCCCAGATATTCCCAATCTTCACCCGCACGTTGACACAATTCAAGAGCGAAGAAGAGGAGCAGGGGGGGTGCAGATGAAATTACATGGTGCACAAGATGTATGGCTCTATCCACGTCTCTGTTTTCTCCGGATCCCTCTGCTTTGACGCCGAGCTCGTTTTTACCTTCACCCGCCCTCTCCCCAAACAGAATCTTCCTCCCCTCCATCTCCACCCCCCCTGCCCTCGCACCTTGAAGAACTTGGAGGTGAACTAGTGGTTGAAGTGGAAAGTATCGTCATCCTCTACCTCCAAGCTCACAAACTCCCCCATTCCCCTCTCACCGAATAGAGCATGCTCCCTCTCCCCTCCACTCATACTTCCCCTCACCTTAGGATGCCTCCTAGCACGCCCTCTCACCTTAGGATGCCTCCTAGCACGCCCTCTCACCTTGAAGAACTTGGAGGTGAACTTGTGGTTGAAGTGGAAGGTGTCGTCATCGTCCACCTCCTTCCCCACGGGTTCCTTCCTCAGCACGTTCTTGCCTCGCACCCCTCCACCCATCCACCCATCCACCCATCCACCCATCCACCCATCCACCCATCCTGTCATCCACCCATCCAGCCATCCACCCAATACCCCACTCCGTACCTTGAAGAACTTGGAGGTGAACTTGTGGTTGAAGTGGAAAGCATCATTGTCCCCAACCTCCTTGCCTACGGGCTCACCCATTCCCCCCCACACACACTGTAACCGTGCACACATCCCCCCCCCCTCTTCCCACCTTGAAGAACTTGGAGGTGAACTTGTGGTTGAAATGAAACGTGTCGTCATCCCCCACCTCCTTCCCCACGGGTTCCTTCCTCAGCACGTTCTTGCCTCGCACCAGCGACAGCGACTGCAGGTTGCGGCGCAGGTCGGCTGATGGGATGTCCGTGGCTGCTTCTATGTCCCGATAAGTGAGGGAGTCGTGCGTATTGAAGAGCATCAAAATGCACATCTGGGAGGGGGGAGAGGGAGAAAAGGAGAAGGGCAGGGACAGCAGGCTCTTGCCGCGCACCAGGGGACGTCCTTGGCTGCTTTGATGTCTCGGTAGGTGGGGTAGTCGTGCGTGTTGAAGAGCATCAGAATGCACATCTGAGACTCAAGCGAGGTAGGTCCCGCACCCACCTGTTATGTCACAATAAGTCAATGCAAATTCCTAATCACTCAAACCGTAGTCACCCACCTGGAACGTGGACGCGGACAGCTCGCATGTCCGCAAGTCAAACGTGGCCTTCACGTCTACCTGGCTGGCAGGTCGTCACAAGTCAACAAAAAGCCAAAACTCACCGCGTATGCCCAAACCAACCCACCTGGTACGTGGACATGAAAGGGCAACGGTACAATACAACAGTGAGAAGCCACCCACCCACCTGGTAGGTCGAAACCGACAGCTCGTATTTCCGCGACTCAAATGTGGCCTTCACGTCCGCATGCCCCATGTTCATCTGCCACGTCAGCCGCCGCCCGGTGTGCGTCGTCAGGTAGTGCCTTGTGAACTTCTCGCATATGGGGAGGATTTCCCCAGGGAGGTTGCATCTGGCGCCCGCCTGTGTGGGCCACGACCCGGTAGTTAACACCTGCACCGAAAGAGTCGGCCCTTGGAATAATCCACCCGCTGCCGCCCCTCCTGCGGCTGATGATGACGACGAGCCGGCTCCCGAGCCTGCTGCCGTGCCGGACGGTCCGGCGAGGGCGAGATCTGGTTCGGTGCGGAGCGCTGCTGCAGCAGCTGCTGCTCCTCCGCGTGCCGACCCTTCCCCTTCCTCCTCCCCGCCCTCATCCCCTCCTTCCTCCCGCAAAGCCCCCCCAGCAGCCGCGGCACCACCCCCAGCAGCAGCCCCAGCAGCAGCAGCAGCAACCCCACTAGCCGGATCCTCTACCTCTCCCTCCCCACCCCCCCTCTCTTCCCCCACTCCCCCTCCTCCCGCCGCCGCCGCCGCCGCCGCTGCTTCCGCCTGCAGAGCGCAGTGAAACGCGTGCATCGTATCCTGAGACGTTTTCATGTCCAGAAACATGCCCTCCAGTTTCGAAGTGAACTGGTACCCACACTCAGTCTTCAGCTTCACAATAAAGCTCCGCTCTGCGTCATCCGAAACCGTCTTCCCCGACAGCAGGCGCTTAGCTAAGTGCTGCTTATAATACTTCTCAAAAACGTCCTTCTCCTGCAGGAACCGGAACAGAGTCATGACTTTATCCAGCACAGCCTCTGCCTCCTCCTCGCTAGCCCCCTTGAGCCCCTTGCGCAGCTTGTCGTCTATGAAGAGAGAGATGTACTCTGCAGCGCGCGCGTTGAGGTTGAGGAAGAACTCAAAGGCCGTGCTGAGTGCCGTCTGAAAGGTCTTGTCGGAGGCGAACGAGGCAGCGATTATGCGGTCGTACTTGTCTTTTTCCTCTAGCAGGCGTTGAACAAACTCGACTGGGTCCTTGCACCTGCATGAGGGGGGGAAAGGACAGGACAGGACAGGACATGACATGAGGCAAGAAGCGCGGCGTTCAGGTTGAGAGAAGAACTCAAAGGCCGTGCTGAGGGTGGTGTGGACGGCCTTGTCGGAGGCGAAGGAGGCGGCGATGATTCGGTCATATTTATCCTATTCCTCTAGGAGCCTCTGTACGAACTCCACTGGGTCCTTGCACCTGGTGAGTTGGGGAGGGGGTGGGGAGAGGAAGAACTCAAAGGCCGTGCTGAGGGTGGTGAGGAAGGCTTTATCGGAAGCAAACGAGGCGGAGATGATTCGGTCGTACTTGTCTTTTTCCTCTAGGAGGCGCTGCACGAACTCCACTGGGTCCTTGCACCTGCATGAGGGGGGGAGAGGGGGAGTGGGTCGGGGAGGACACGTTGTCGCAAGAAGGGCGTTGAGGTTGAGAAAGAACTCGAAGGCGGTGCTGAGGGTGGTGTGGAAGGCTTTGTCTGAGGCGAAGGAAGCTACTATGATGCGATATCCTACTTGTCTTTCTCCTCTAGCAGGCGCTGCACCAACTCCACTGGGTCCTTGTGTGATGAGTCGATTTTTTAGTCGACTCAAAAATCGACTCACCACTGGGTCCTTGGGTAGGGAGGGGAGGGAGGGGGTTGGAGAGGAGTGGAGTGGTACAGAGGGAGGCGAATGAGGCAGCGATAATGCGATCGAACTCATCCTTCTCCTCCAACAGCCGTTGCGGAGGGAGGAGCGGTAGAGAGGGAGCGGCGGACATGCAGTCGCAAGAAGCGTGTTGAGGTTGAGAAAGAACTCAAAGGTTGAGCGTGTTGTGATGAGCGCTTCGTCTCCCCACCCATCCCCACCCATCCCCATCCATCCCCACCCATCCCCATCCCCACCCATCCCCACCCCCATTCCTCCTACCATGCCTGTCCGGGTTAGTGACCCGTCTCCCTGCCATGCCCGTACATCACCTCCCTCATTGTATCCACACACAACCACACCCACAATCTCCCCAGCCTCACCCCATCTCCACCCCCCACTGTCATACCTGTCTGGGTCAGTGATCAGCTGCCTGCCCGTGTCCCTCAGGTGCCCCGAAATCACCTCCCTCACCACACACAGCTTCGCACACCCCCACGCTCCCACTCACACGCTCCTCCAAGGTGCATTGATGACACAACCACCGCCATACCTGTCAGGGTCAGTGACCAGCTGCCTGCCCGTCTCTCTGAGATGCCCCGACGCCACCTCAACACATCACACTCACACACAGTCACTCACACTTGGCTACGCATAGCTCATCCCCCACCACCATACCTGTCAGGGTCAGTGACCAGCTGTCGGCCCGTCTCCCTCGGATGCCCTGACACCACCACTCTCATCCCGCACACACACATAGACACCCACTTACACCTATCCCTCCCCCTCCCCATCGCACCTGTCCGGATCAGTGACTAGCTGCCGGCCCGTCTCCCTGAGATGCCCCGACATCACCTCCCTCATCGTCTGCAGCCCCTGCGGCACACGCTTGAGCAGGCGGTACATGCGCGCTATGTCCTGAGAGGGGGAAGGTGGACGGAAATACAAGAAGAGGCCAGCAATGCCACGATGGGAGTGGTGAGGAGGAAGCGGGGATATGCCTGCCACCTCCCTCATCGTCTGCAGGCCCGGATGCCCCACTTGAACGGGCGATACATGCGCGCAATGGGAGGAAGCACGGAAAATAGTAGTCGACTCACTGCCCCCCATCAGTGCTCGTAAGTGCTTCCAGCCTTCCCCTCCGTGCGCGCATCCACATACACGGCAGGCCAGGTACGTGCGCGCCACGCGCTCCCCCATTCACGAGCAGGCCCACTCACGCACCTCGTATTTGTCGTTCACGAGCATGGGAACGAGCCCAGAGTTCTCCATATCAACAAGCAACCTGAGGTGGTTCCCCACCATCTCGCGCTCCACCACGCCAGTCACCTTCCCCTCCGTGCGCGCATCCAGGTACTGAGCCACGCGCTCCCCCTCCTCCTCCAACCTCCTCTCCGCCACCTTGAGATAATCCGCGCAATCACACGTCGTCAGGTGGCGCTGCGCCTCGCCGCGGTAAAACGACGCCGACGCCTCCAGAAACGGACGCTCCAGATCTTCCGAGTACACCGCCGGGCCGAGATCGGCGAACATGGACGATATGGATCGCATGAGCGCGCGGTTAATCACTTCCCCCGAGCGCTCTTGGTGGACGAGGGAGAGGATGGTGGAGAGGAGGCGCGGGCGGATGGCGGGGGCGCGCACGATGTGGTCGCGCCAGAGAGCGAGGCCGAGGTCGTGCACAGGTGTCTTGTTGTGATTGGTCACGTAGGTTCGGTCCATGTACATTAGAATGTCTCGGATCATCTGCAGCGACTTGCCGTAGTCGTGCCACCTGAAGTTGAACGGGGAAAGGGAGGGGCGAAGAAGAGTGGTAATGAGAGGTGAGAGCACATAGCAGCAGGGCAGCAGCATTGGTCACGTAAGCAGGTTTGGTCCATGTGCATGGGAACGTCTCGAATCATCTGGAGCGACTTGCCAAAGTCGTACCGCCTGGAGTTGGGGGAAATGGAAGGAGGAAGGGAGGGAAAGGGAGGGGGGGAGGGGTGGGGGAGGAAAGAGGGAAAGAGAGGGCGAAACAAGGCATCATGGGTCCATCCATGTACGCGGGGATATCGCAGGTAATGGACTTGTCATGTTCGTGCCACCTGGGAGAGCAGATGGCAGCATTGGTCCAACAGGCAGGTACGGTCCATGTACGTGGGGATGTCGCGGATCATCTGCAGGCAGGAATTTGCCGTAGTCGTGCCACCTGGGGGTGAAAGGCGGTGGGGTGTGGGAGGGAGAGAGTGGGAGGGAGAGAGTGGGAGGGAGAGAGTGGGAGGGAGAGAGTGGGAGGGAGAGAGTGGGAGGGAGAGAGTGGGAGGGGAGAGTGGGAGGGAGAGAGTGGGAGGGAGAGAGTGGGAGGGAGAGAGTGGGAGGGAGAGAGTGGGAGGGAGGGAGAGTGGGAGGGAGAGAGTGGGAGGGAGAGAGTGGGAGGGAGAGAGTGGGAGGGAGAGAGTGGGGGGAGAGAGTGGGAGGGAGAGAGTGGGAGGGAGAGAGTGGGAGGGAGAGAGTGGGAGGGAGAGAGTGGGAGGGAGAGAGTGGGAGGGAGAGAGTGGGAGGGAGAGAGTGGGAGGGAGAGAGTGGGAGGGAGAGAGTGGGAGGGAGAGAGTGGGAGGGAGCGGGAGAGAGAGTGGGGGGGAGAGTGGGAGGGAGAGAGTGGGAGGGAGAGAGTGGGAGGGAGAGAGTGGGAGGGAGAGAGTGGGAGGGAGAGAGTGGGAGGGAGAGAGTGGGAGGGAGAGAGTGGGAGGGAGAGAGTGGGAGGGAGAGAGGGAGGGGAGGGAGAGAGTGGGAGGGAGAGAGTGGGAGGGAGAGAGTGGGAGGGAGAGAGTGGGAGGGAGAGAGTGGGAGGGGAGAGTGGGAGGGAGAGAGTGGGAGGGAGAGAGTGGGAGGAGAGAGTGGGAGGAGAGAGTGGGAGGGAGAGAGAGTGGGAGGGAGAGAGTGGGAGGGAGAGAGTGGGAGGAGAGAGTGGGAGGAGAGTGGGAGGGAGAGAGTGGGAGGGAGAGAGTGGGAGGGAGAGAGTGGGAGGGAGAGAGTGGGAGGGAGAGAGTGGGAGGGAGAGAGTGGGAGGGAGAGAGTGGGAGGGAGAGAGTGGGAGGGAGAGAGTGGGAGGGAGAGAGTGGGAGGGAGAGAGAGTGGGAGGGAGAGAGTGGGAGGGAGAGAGTGGGAGGGAGAGAGTGGGAGGGAGAGAGTGGGAGGGAGAGGGGGAGGGAGAGAGTGGGAGGGAGAGAGTGGGAGGGAGAGAGTGGGAGGGAGAGAGTGGGAGGGAGAGAGTGGGAGGGAGAGAGTGGGAGGGAGAGAGTGGGAGGGAGAGAGTGGGAGGGAGAGAGTGGGAGGGAGAGAGTGGGAGGGAGAGAGTGGGAGGAGAGAGTGGGAGGGAGAGAGTGGGAGGGAGAGAGAGTGGGAGGGAGAGAGTGGGAGGGAGAGAGTGGGAGGGAGAGAGTGGGAGGGAGAGAGTGGGAGGGAGAGAGTGGGAGGGAGAGAGTGGGAGGGAGAGAGTGGGAGGGAGAGAGTGGGAGGGAGAGAGTGGGAGGGAGAGAGTGGGAGGGAGAGAGTGGGAGGGAGAGAGTGGGAGGGAGAGAGTGGGAGGGGAGGGAGAGAGTGGGAGGGAGAGAGTGGGAGGGAGAGAGTGGGAGGGAGAGAGTGGGAGGGAGGGAGAGAGTGGGAAAGAAGAGTGGGACGAGAGGGGAGAGCAGGGGAGCAGCATTGGTCACTGGGCATGTGGGTTCGGTCCATGCACATGAGGATGTCTTGGATCATCTGCAAGGACTTGCCGTAGTCGTGCCACCTGGGGGTGAGGAGATGGGGGAAACACGAGCAGTCGAAAGAAGTGAGAGAAGATGGCAGCATTGACAGCATTGGTGAGTGGGCATCATGGGTCCGTCCATGTACATGCGGATGTGTGGGATCATCTGGAGGGACTGGAGAAAGAGGAAGGGTGGGGGGTGGTGGGGAGGAATGGGAGGGAAGGGGAGGGGGAGAGTAAGCATTGGTCACGTGCGTTCGGGCCGTAGTCGTGCCACCTGGTCGTGAAAGGGGGAGAAAAGGGGTGGGCGGGAAAGCAGCGGCGCCTTTCCCATGCCTTTCCAGAGCACAGCAGAGCAAGAGCAAGAGCAGAGCTCACCAGCCCCGGTTAGAAAGGTTATTTCTGAGACGTCTCAAAAATAACCTTTCTACGCAGGGCAAGAGCAAGAGCAAGAGCTCACCAGCCCCGGTTACAGGCGGGCCTAACCCACCTCACAGCCTGCCATGGCACCACCTCTTACCTCGAGTCACACCCTCACACCCACCTCGCATCGAGCTCGTTAAGAAACAGCGGCCCGTGTGCGGCCTCTATAGCCGCCGCCATGCCCTTGAGGTGCGCCGCCATGCCCTTGAGGTGCGCCGTCATGGTGCTAACCAGCCCCGCGTCATGGTGCTAACCAGCCCCGCGTCATGGTGCTAACCAGCCCCGCGTAACCCACTGCACCTCCCCTCACCTCGCATCGAGCTCGTTGAGAAAGAGCGGCCCGTGTGCGGCCTCTATAGCAGCCGCCACGCCCTTGAGGTGGTTCGTCATGGTGGTCACCAGCCCGGCGTACAGGCGGTCGCCGTGTCTACTTATGGAGTACCATGTTGTACGCGTTGCTGTGAATGAGAGGGCGGAGGGGGACACGCGGTGAAGGCACAGGGGGGAAAGCACAGGGAGAGACAAGGGAAAGACACATGTAGCGTGGGGACGGGCCCTGCGAACAGGCGGTTGCTCTACTTATGGAGTACCATGTTGTACGCGTTGCTGTGAATGAGAGGGCGGAGGGGGACACGCGGTGAAGGCACAGGGGGGAAAGCACAGGGAGAGACAAGGGAAAGACACATGTAGCGTGGGGACGGGCCCTGCGAACAGGCGGTTGCTCTACTTATGGAGTACCATGTTGTACGCGTTGCTGTGAATGAGAGGGCGGAGGGGGACACGCGGTGAAGGCACAGGGGGGAAAGCACAGGGAGAGACAAGGGAAAGACACATGTAGCGTGGGGACGGGCCCTGCGAACAGGCGGTTGCTCTACTTATGGAGTACCATGTTGTACGCGTTGCTGTGAATGAGAGGGCGGAGGGGGACACGCGGTGAAGGCACAGGGGGGAAAGCACAGGGAGAGACAAGGGAAAGACACATGTAGCGTGGGGACGGGCCCTGCGAACAGGCGGTTGCTCTACTTATGGAGTACCATGTTGTACGCGTTGCTGTGAATGAGAGGGCGGAGGGGGACACGCGGTGAAGGCACAGGGGGGAAAGCACAGGGAGAGACAAGGGAAAGACACATGTAGCGTGGGGACGGGCCCTGCGAACAGGCGGTTGCTCTACTTATGGAGTACCATGTTGTACGCGTTGCTGTGAATGAGAGGGCGGAGGGGGACACGCGGTGAAGGCACAGGGGGGAAAGCACAGGGAGAGACAAGGGAAAGACACATGTAGCGTGGGGACGGGCCCTGCGAACAGGCGGTTGCTCTACTTATGGAGTACCATGTTGTACGCGTTGCTGTGAATGAGAGGGCGGAGGGGGACACGCGGTGAAGGCACAGGGGGGAAAGCACAGGGAGAGACAAGGGAAAGACACATGTAGCGTGGGGACGGGCCCTGCGAACAGGCGGTTGCTCTACTTATGGAGTACCATGTTGTACGCGTTGCTGTGAATGAGAGGGCGGAGGGGGACACGCGGTGAAGGCACAGGGGGGAAAGCACAGGGAGAGACAAGGGAAAGACACATGTAGCGTGGGGACGGGCCCTGCGAACAGGCGGTTGCTCTACTTATGGAGTACCATGTTGTACGCGTTGCTGTGAATGAGAGGGCGGAGGGGGACACGCGGTGAAGGCACAGGGGGGAAAGCACAGGGAGAGACAAGGGAAAGACACATGTAGCGTGGGGACGGGCCCTGCGAACAGGCGGTTGCTCTACTTATGGAGTACCATGTTGTACGCGTTGCTGTGAATGAGAGGGCGGAGGGGGACACGCGGTGAAGGCACAGGGGGGAAAGCACAGGGAGAGACAAGGGAAAGACACATGTAGCGTGGGGACGGGCCCTGCGAACAGGCGGTTGCTCTACTTATGGAGTACCATGTTGTACGCGTTGCTGTGAATGAGAGGGCGGAGGGGGACACGCGGTGAAGGCACAGGGGGGAAAGCACAGGGAGAGACAAGGGAAAGACACATGTAGCGTGGGGACGGGCCCTGCGAACAGGCGGTTGCTCTACTTATGGAGTACCATGTTGTACGCGTTGCTGTGAATGAGAGGGCGGAGGGGGACACGCGGTGAAGGCACAGGGGGGAAAGCACAGGGAGAGACAAGGGAAAGACACATGTAGCGTGGGGACGGGCCCTGCGAACAGGCGGTTGCTCTACTTATGGAGTACCATGTTGTACGCGTTGCTGTGAATGAGAGGGCGGAGGGGGACACGCGGTGAAGGCACAGGGGGGAAAGCACAGGGAGAGACAAGGGAAAGACACATGTAGCGTGGGGACGGGCCCTGCGAACAGGCGGTTGCTCTACTTATGGAGTACCATGTTGTACGCGTTGCTGTGAATGAGAGGGCGGAGGGGGACACGCGGTGAAGGCACAGGGGGGAAAGCACAGGGAGAGACAAGGGAAAGACACATGTAGCGTGGGGACGGGCCCTGCGAACAGGCGGTTGCTCTACTTATGGAGTACCATGTTGTACGCGTTGCTGTGAATGAGAGGGCGGAGGGGGACACGCGGTGAAGGCACAGGGGGGAAAGCACAGGGAGAGACAAGGGAAAGACACATGTAGCGTGGGGACGGGCCCTGCGAACAGGCGGTTGCTCTACTTATGGAGTACCATGTTGTACGCGTTGCTGTGAATGAGAGGGCGGAGGGGGACACGCGGTGAAGGCACAGGGGGGAAAGCACAGGGAGAGACAAGGGAAAGACACATGTAGCGTGGGGACGGGCCCTGCGAACAGGCGGTTGCTCTACTTATGGAGTACCATGTTGTACGCGTTGCTGTGAATGAGAGGGCGGAGGGGGACACGCGGTGAAGGCACAGGGGGGAAAGCACAGGGAGAGACAAGGGAAAGACACATGTAGCGTGGGGACGGGCCCTGCGAACAGGCGGTTGCTCTACTTATGGAGTACCATGTTGTACGCGTTGCTGTGAATGAGAGGGCGGAGGGGGACACGCGGTGAAGGCACAGGGGGGAAAGCACAGGGAGAGACAAGGGAAAGACACATGTAGCGTGGGGACGGGCCCTGCGAACAGGCGGTTGCTCTACTTATGGAGTACCATGTTGTACGCGTTGCTGTGAATGAGAGGGCGGAGGGGGACACGCGGTGAAGGCACAGGGGGGAAAGCACAGGGAGAGACAAGGGAAAGACACATGTAGCGTGGGGACGGGCCCTGCGAACAGGCGGTTGCTCTACTTATGGAGTACCATGTTGTACGCGTTGCTGTGAATGAGAGGGCGGAGGGGGACACGCGGTGAAGGCACAGGGGGGAAAGCACAGGGAGAGACAAGGGAAAGACACATGTAGCGTGGGGACGGGCCCTGCGAACAGGCGGTTGCTCTACTTATGGAGTACCATGTTGTACGCGTTGCTGTGAATGAGAGGGCGGAGGGGGACACGCGGTGAAGGCACAGGGGGGAAAGCACAGGGAGAGACAAGGGAAAGACACATGTAGCGTGGGGACGGGCCCTGCGAACAGGCGGTTGCTCTACTTATGGAGTACCATGTTGTACGCGTTGCTGTGAATGAGAGGGCGGAGGGGGACACGCGGTGAAGGCACAGGGGGGAAAGCACAGGGAGAGACAAGGGAAAGACACATGTAGCGTGGGGACGGGCCCTGCGAACAGGCGGTTGCTCTACTTATGGAGTACCATGTTGTACGCGTTGCTGTGAATGAGAGGGCGGAGGGGGACACGCGGTGAAGGCACAGGGGGGAAAGCACAGGGAGAGACAAGGGAAAGACACATGTAGCGTGGGGACGGGCCCTGCGAACAGGCGGTTGCTCTACTTATGGAGTACCATGTTGTACGCGTTGCTGTGAATGAGAGGGCGGAGGGGGACACGCGGTGAAGGCACAGGGGGGAAAGCACAGGGAGAGACAAGGGAAAGACACATGTAGCGTGGGGACGGGCCCTGCGAACAGGCGGTTGCTCTACTTATGGAGTACCATGTTGTACGCGTTGCTGTGAATGAGAGGGCGGAGGGGGACACGCGGTGAAGGCACAGGGGGGAAAGCACAGGGAGAGACAAGGGAAAGACACATGTAGCGTGGGGACGGGCCCTGCGAACAGGCGGTTGCTCTACTTATGGAGTACCATGTTGTACGCGTTGCTGTGAATGAGAGGGCGGAGGGGGACACGCGGTGAAGGCACAGGGGGGAAAGCACAGGGAGAGACAAGGGAAAGACACATGTAGCGTGGGGACGGGCCCTGCGAACAGGCGGTTGCTCTACTTATGGAGTACCATGTTGTACGCGTTGCTGTGAATGAGAGGGCGGAGGGGGACACGCGGTGAAGGCACAGGGGGGAAAGCACAGGGAGAGACAAGGGAAAGACACATGTAGCGTGGGGACGGGCCCTGCGAACAGGCGGTTGCTCTACTTATGGAGTACCATGTTGTACGCGTTGCTGTGAATGAGAGGGCGGAGGGGGACACGCGGTGAAGGCACAGGGGGGAAAGCACAGGGAGAGACAAGGGAAAGACACATGTAGCGTGGGGACGGGCCCTGCGAACAGGCGGTTGCTCTACTTATGGAGTACCATGTTGTACGCGTTGCTGTGAATGAGAGGGCGGAGGGGGACACGCGGTGAAGGCACAGGGGGGAAAGCACAGGGAGAGACAAGGGAAAGACACATGTAGCGTGGGGACGGGCCCTGCGAACAGGCGGTTGCTCTACTTATGGAGTACCATGTTGTACGCGTTGCTGTGAATGAGAGGGCGGAGGGGGACACGCGGTGAAGGCACAGGGGGGAAAGCACAGGGAGAGACAAGGGAAAGACACATGTAGCGTGGGGACGGGCCCTGCGAACAGGCGGTTGCTCTACTTATGGAGTACCATGTTGTACGCGTTGCTGTGAATGAGAGGGCGGAGGGGGACACGCGGTGAAGGCACAGGGGGGAAAGCACAGGGAGAGACAAGGGAAAGACACATGTAGCGTGGGGACGGGCCCTGCGAACAGGCGGTTGCTCTACTTATGGAGTACCATGTTGTACGCGTTGCTGTGAATGAGAGGGCGGAGGGGGACACGCGGTGAAGGCACAGGGGGGAAAGCACAGGGAGAGACAAGGGAAAGACACATGTAGCGTGGGGACGGGCCCTGCGAACAGGCGGTTGCTCTACTTATGGAGTACCATGTTGTACGCGTTGCTGTGAATGAGAGGGCGGAGGGGGACACGCGGTGAAGGCACAGGGGGGAAAGCACAGGGAGAGACAAGGGAAAGACACATGTAGCGTGGGGACGGGCCCTGCGAACAGGCGGTTGCTCTACTTATGGAGTACCATGTTGTACGCGTTGCTGTGAATGAGAGGGCGGAGGGGGACACGCGGTGAAGGCACAGGGGGGAAAGCACAGGGAGAGACAAGGGAAAGACACATGTAGCGTGGGGACGGGCCCTGCGAACAGGCGGTTGC